CTATTACTACGATTGTCATTCCCTTTGTTACTACTACTACTTCTACTACTACTACTACTACTACTTCTACTACTACTACGACTACTACTACTACTACTACTACTACTACAACTACTACTACTACTACCACTACTACCGCTACTACTACTACTACCACTACTACTACTACTACTACTACTACTACGGCTACTACTAGTAGTACTACTACTACTACTACTGCTACTATTAGTACTAATACTAGTACTACTACCACTACTACTACTGGTACAACTACTGCCACGATTGTTATTACGACTACTACGACAGTTTCGAGTACTACTACTCCGACTACGGCGACTACGACGTTTACTACTACTACTACTACTACTACTACTGCTACTACTAGTACAACTACAAGAGAACACGAAGGCGGTAACCATAATCGATCGCGAGAAACGCTCATTGGGTCGAGCCCTGCGAGCAGGCGCTGGAGCGGGCCGAGCACGCGCGGCGGCGAGGCGCCCCGCAGGGTTCGGAAAGAGTGGGGACGAGGACTGGCAATGCACGTGTGAACACAGGGCACGCCTGTCCACCTTCGGCACGCCTCCTCTCCCTCCATCGATTTCCACAGCCCCAGACTTTTGCTCCACCCGGCAGCTCCTGGACCTGCCACACCGTGGCACGGCCGCGTGCCCTGCCCTGCCCCTCCCAGTTCGCTGCCAGTGTGAGCCCGTGCTCCGCCACACACGTTTTTTTTGCTTTCGTCCTACGTTCATGGCCGTGGGACGAGAGTGGGCACGTGTCTAGCACAGGTCCTGGGGGGTACGGAGAGAATGCGGACGAGGGCCAGGGGAGGAGAGGGTGCCCATACCGCTACTCTTCCCTCGTGTTCTCCTTTTGGGGCCTCTTGGGAGGCCCTCGTCGCCACCGTTGGATTCGCTTTGAAACTCTGGTCGGGACGCACGCGGTAGAGGTCCGGCAAGTAGCGGTATTGGTACCTCTTGGTTTCCCCAATGAGGACCGTCAGTATCGGCGGCGAGCCTTGTGGCGAAGTGAGGAGTCGGCGGCCTCTCAGTTATGGATAAGGCCCGCGCCTACCAAGAAGCAGAGGGTGTTTCCAAGAAGCCCACCCTGCCCCCACCTTCCTCGGTGCGACGACGGTGGCTGCCCCACGGTGCGACGACGACGCCGCATTTGTGTCTCCTTCGACCAGTCGGCGGCGAGCCCAGGGGGGAAGTGAGAAGGCGGCGGCCTGTCATCTATGGATCTTTCTAAGAAGCCCACCCTGCCCCCAGGAGGAGGAATATGGATAGGAGGAGGAGGAGGAGGAGGAGGAGGAGGAATAGGAGGAGAGGAGGAGGAGGAGGAGGAGGATGGAGGAGGCCCAAATTCCTCTGCGCGTGGCCTGCTCCACGGTGCGACGGCGACGCCGCACGTGTGTCTCCCTCGGCCAGTCGGCGGCGAGCCCCCGGGGGGGGCATGCGAGAGAGGGCGGGCCTCCTCGGAAGGCTCGGGAGTCGCCCTGCCTTCTCGATCCTCCTCCTCTTCGATCCTCCTCCTCCTCCTCCTCCTCCCTCCTCCCCTCCTCCTCCTCCTCCTCCTCCCCCTCCTCCTCCTCCTCCTCCTCCTCCTCCTCCTCCTCCTCCTCCTCCTCCTCCTCCTCCTCTGGGAGGTTTGCTGGGCCTTCCTTGAAGTCGGGTCTGTCCCTCTACAGGGGGAATCTTGAAAGATAGTCCAAAAAAAAGTCGGGGGACGATTTTTCACCATTTTCGATAATTATGGTGCATGTTCTGACTATTCTTCCTTTTTCGTCCAACTTACCCGTGTAGGAGGGCAGGCCCGACTTAAGCCCTCCCCGAAGGCACCAAAGACTTCTCAGAAGGCGCGAGGGCTTTGGGTCGTCTGCGCCGACATTGGCGCGTAAGCTGCCCGCGTAAGGTCGCGGCGTAAGCGCCCTCGTCTCCAGTATACCAGTATAGCGTCTCCCGCCGGCGGCCCGCGTAAGCCGCGGCGTACTGTCGCCGTGTCGTCTCGCGCAATTGAGTAAGACCCGTGTTTGTTTCGTCGCCCAGGCGGAGCGGGTTCGTCGTTTTGGCAACGGGTCCTTTGTTTTGAAGCGCGGGCCCCCGACCTCTGTTCAATTTTCCAAGGCCGGTTTTTCATCCGGAGTCGGTTTTTGACTGTCCCGGGGCCCAGTGAGGGCCCTGAAGGCCGAAAACTATGAAAAGCTTCCGCCTCGACTCTTTCGATGCGCCGGATGTCTGGGGCCGCAGGCGCCTACACCATCGTGCACAGAGGCGGGCATTTGATGCACTTCGACAACCACCTGACTCCAGGCGGCATCGCGTGCGCCATGTCCCACCGGCGGGCCCTGGAAGCCGTGGCGTCCCACCCGACGGCCAGGCGGGCGACGCCAAAAGAGGAGAACGGATGAGGAGGGAGGAGGGAGGAGGGGGGAGGGAAGAAGGAGGTGGGATGAGGGAGGAGGGAGGAGGGAGGAGGGAGGAGGAGGTAGGGAGGG